AATAGGTTTTTTCAATAGAAGTCTCCCCCCCCCCCCCTACTTCTTTGCTGGTGGCAACAGTAACATTTTAGACCTGGCCTCACTTTATGTCCTGAAGAAAATGGCCATGAGGGCAGATATCTCAAGAGGGACAAAGATGGAAATGAAAACCTATCAGGGATTCTATTCAGTGGCCAGTATTTTACTTAAGGCATCAGCAGTATAAGCATATGACATTACATAGGGTCAATGAACAATTAAAAGTCAACAAAACTATAGTTCCCAGCATTTACATGTAAGCATAACTTTATTGCTTTTGCATAGACTTAATCATCAAGTTTTAAAACGATTGAAGAAAAAGCACGAACATGTCACAATGAAGATTGCATGGAGATCAGATACATAATCTTTACTGTTACATAACCACCATAATATCCAACTGGTCTCCAAAACTGGAAAATGGTGATGAGCGACAAAAGTGCTATGTAATCAAAAGTGGACAGGCATCCATTACCGATTTGTTTTCCCCACAATACACATATTAAGCGTTCCGATTAAAGATTTAAACTATGTTGGTGCTTATTCAGATAACTGTGGGCCATACAGTATTAAGTGAAACCTTTTTTGTAAATCTAATTTAACTCTGCTCACTTGAATGTATCAGACGAAAAAAATAAATGAATGTGGTCGACTGAAAGAAGCAGATTTATGAATCCTGAAAAACAAATGAAGCTCTTGTCTATAACCAGTGATGCTTCTTTCACCAGTTGCTGGTAAACAAGTAATCTAGTTGCTATAAGCAATAAGTCATTAAATCAGGTTGATAGAAAGAGGAAGGAAGTGGTAGAAGTTGTTATACAATTACCACCCAACCATCTTCCATCCTTCAAGGCATGTAGGTAAAACATTTGACAACACACAAGTATTCTTACCATAAACTAATTAGCAATATAAACATAACTAAGCATTTTCATGCCATGTTGAAGGATTGGCAGGATGGTTAACCGTTAATTGAGTTAATGAGAAATTATAACGTGGCATATTACCACCTGATCAAAGTCAGATGGGCATATTTGGAAGGGGGGGGGGGTTTGGGTGAGCAGTTCTTCAAATCTTATCTTACTCTATCCTTAAAACTGTTATTTTATCCCATAACCTTTTGCAACCAATTAAAAAAATATATATTGCATTGGAATTAAATAATTTTCCACAAGAAATAAAACATGCCTCTTCTTCTCACAAATCGTTATTTTAGTCTCCACCAGACAGACCCATTTCTCTCAAGTTCACTTCAGCCAGAAGGCAGCAATATTTTAGGAGCAAGTACCTATAAGATTACTTTTTTGAACTGACTTGCATGCAAAACAACAAACTGTAATAGAAAGATAAATGAGGTAAAAGCAGCATATCTGTGCAAACAAATGGTGGATTGAAAAAAAAGACAGACCACGGAATCATAATGCACGTTAATGAAAATGCATCATGCTTTAGTGAATTTATGCTAATGCAATTTCAAAAATGGCTACTTTAAAGTATATCAAAAGCCAAACTTTTGTTTTGAATATATTAGAGAAGGTTTTTCTTCACCATCTGTGTACTGTTGGGAAGATCTATCGCCATTTCCTGTTCCCAAGACACAACAGGAAGTAAGAACAAATCCTCTAAGACAGCTGAACCAGAGTCTCCATTGAAAGATTTCACCTCTACTCCTGTTCTGGTGACAACGGACATTTTTAACAAATAGAGGTGGTTCATCTCTAAAGACACAAACAGCAATGAAAACCACCTGACAGGGGTTCTAAAACTTCCCTAATCTATCTAAAAAAAGGTTTTGGAGTGAAATATATTTTGACTGATCCTCAAAGCAGAATAAGATGTCAAAGTGAAACTTCCCATGCCCCTTCTTCCCCTAACTGGTCCTACACTTGAATGCCATGTAGAGAACATATCAGCATCACAATGAAAATCTCTCCACACATGACTTGATGTTGTTTAGGTGAAGAGGGCAGGGCAGGTTGACTGTAAAATTATCATTGCCATTGTGTAGATTCAGCACTGTTAAAAGTAACCTGTACAGATACATGAATGCTGTTCATTGCTGTCTGTCTGCTTTACTCTTACTTTACTATTTGGTGAGGCACTGACCTGAAACACGTGTGTACATGTCATGTACCAGGACATGTATGTGTGTGCCTGTTCTAGGTCAGTAACCCTCTGTTTCAAAAGGCTTTGGGCTCATGACAGAGTTTGGTTTTGACATCAGCATTTAAAATGCTTCTGAGATCATTCACAAAGCATTGACAGGTACATTTGACCTGCTTATAAGCAGCTTCCGGCTGCTATTGCATTCCCATAGATTTGTATGGAGTGAAGAAGTTCTGATGCAAACAAAACACTGCTGACCTAGGCGTCCAAGGATGATTTTACCAGAGCTTTTACATCGTTTACTTGTTGTAATATGACATTGTGTGTCAAGGTGTCTCATTTAAGCGCTGCGCAAACTGTTAGCGCTATATAAATCCTGTATAATAATAATAATTGAAATGCCTTTAACATCGTCAAAATTAATTTAACAGCTCTTTAAAGGTAAATAAAAAAAAATAATAATAATATATATATATCTATATCTAGATACACATTTACATAAGATGCTCATACCAACCATGACTGGAAAAGTAAAAATTGCAAGATGACATTTTAATTCATAAAAACATAATTTTTCCAAATTAATAATAACAAAAAAAAAATAATGTTAGAAGAAAATACCAAAATAAACCAATAGCTTATACGTGATCTCCAGAAAAGTTGGATTTGTTACATTTTAGGTTTAGCAGACAAGTTAAGAAGTTTTATTTGTTGGGTGGACGTGTAAGAATCACAAAAAGAAAATACATGGTAATGTTTTAATCAGAATGGCAAAAGGTGGGACTTGGAGAGAGAGAAAAAAAAAAATAACCCAAGAAAAACAAAAAAGGAAGAAAAAAAAAAAAAAAAAAAAATCACAATATATACAAGTTACAGTACACAAATATTGAAAGCATTTTCAATAGTCTAATTTTTGGTACAGGTGTGGATTTTTTTGTTTTCTACATAAGTCAACAGGGGTTTTCTTCCAAACTAAAAATAAAAACAATTCCCTATTAGTTTACATCGGAATTTAAAAATGAAAACGGTGTTATGGAAATCTTAGTACTGCTACGCATAGAGAGTTATTGAATTTAGGAACCTGGGTAAAACCTTCTTTCTTTTTTTTTTACCAATATTTTTTTTTTTTATCAGAAAGCGTTCGACAGCAGAATTGTGCAATATGGAGATAAAGCAAGTATACATGGCACATTCTCATTCAGATCTGGTCATGTAAAAAGTTACAAACATCCCTAAGTTCAAATAAATAATAAAAAAAACAACGAGTTGTGTGTGTGTTATGTCTCCTAAAATTCACTACCAGGAAAATGCAAATGTCACACAGATATTTACATTATAATACCCAAATCGGGTACACTGCTACAAAACTCATAAAATACATGGGGAGTAAACATGAAATGTTTTTACTCTTAGTTCTCAGTAATTCATTCTAGCAGCTTGGCTATCTAATGCTGTTTATTTCCTTTCTTGTGACTGCTTAAGGGACTTGCAATTTTTAGTCTGTGTCGTCATCCAGTTCATAACTGTTCTTGTCATAAATATCCTTGACTAGTAAAACCCGTAGTAGCATGTTTTCCAAAGTGTTTCGATCCAGCGAAGAGGATGTGAACCACAGGAGGGATTCGGAAGTAGAGGAGCTTTCTGGATTCAAGTAAAATAAATCCATTCTCTGATCAAGATTTGAGGGACTACAACAGAAAAAGAAGAGACATCAAATGTATGTTGTTACAATGTTTGGGGCTCGCATAAATGCGCTTCAAAAAATGAAATGCATAGAAGGGAATTGATCAAATCTGGAGCAGCTGTGCACGGCAACCAATCAGCTTCCCGGTTTCATTTTTAAATCTTAACTGAACAAACTGAAGGGAGAAGCTGATTGGTTGCCATGGGCAACTGCTCCAGATTTGATAAACTCCCCAGTGTGCTTTCAGGTGTTTCTGAGATGCTTAGATTTGCTTTCTAGTTGCTTCAAGTTGTTTTTGCATTAACATGATTTGTATGGGAAAAGCAAAGCAGCTCAGATGTAAACACCTATAGTGAATGGACCATTATCTGACAAACTTCAGAAGGATAATTCAGCCGTGCTTTGAAAATGGCGGCATTTCAGATTATCGGAGTGGTTTTCCACCCTGTTTTCTTTAACACAACACTGTTCATTAAACAATATATTCATAAAGCCCTATAGACAATGCAACCTGTTCACAGCAACTCTAAGAACTGAGCTTTAGACACTGTGCACTGAGCTAGAAGCTCTCAAAGACCCCCGCTGCCCAAATCATTTTGCATTATCTTATACATTGCAGAGAGGAAACATCCCTGAGTTTCTGATGGGAAACTTGTTATTTGCTTGTAATGGCAGCCTACCATAGCGTATTTCCGGGGCATGAACCTGCGGTCTGTTTTTTTTTTTCTAGGTTTTCTTCAGAGGCATGTTTGCTCACACAGGAAAATTATTGTGGAAAGCTGAATATGTACTTTAAGCCAGGGCTCAAAATTTAAAGTCCTGAGCTATTAGCCAGGCCTTAAGAGTCACTAGCCACCAGTTGCCCCACCTAACCCTTAAGACCGTGACACACTGCACGCGAAGCCGTGCAGAGCGAAGCAAAGCTATCCAGCTAGGAAGCTTTGCGTGCAGTGTGTGAGCTGAGTGCAGTCAGATGATTGACTGCACCTTCATCCAATTGGCTCGTTTTATACGCGCGAGCCGATTGGCTGAAGTTGAAATTGTTCATCTCGGCACGCTCAGCTCCGCGAGCTCTCGCCAGCTGAGGTGCCCAGGAGAAAATGACATGACATACTGCTCGCAAAGGCAGCGCGCCACTGCTCCGCGCTGCTTCGTGTGCAGTGTGTCACTGCCTTAACCCTGCACCGGCCTTAACTCCGCCCCTAAACACACCCTCTTAAATAATCTTATGATAATTCTTATCTTGTGATAGTTGCCGCTTGTAAACGGCAGATTAGGGATTCCTGCTGCAGGAAAACCCAAGTTCCTGACACAGTAATCTCTAATCACACCTGAAATATACTGTAGGTGTGAATGGGGCCTAATATACACATACACTAAAGGTGCCCATACACCTGCCGATTAGCGTACGATAACTGACAGGTGTACGGGCAGCGTGCGACCGCTTCTACTGTACGGCACAATAATACACTGCTCAACAACGTTACACCCCCCGCACACAAAATAATATACTGCCCCCTTATTAACCCCCCTCCCCCACACACAAAATAATATACTGCCCCCTTATTAACCCCCCTCCCCCAAGGTCTGCATCCGACACAGATGCAGACCGTGGAGCTGCTCCCGCAAGTCAGGTACGCGGTCTGCGATCACGTGCCTGACATGTCAGCTGGCCACATAGTACCGGCTCGCGGTACGGTACTTGGAGACCCAAATTTCCACTCGCCCTCACCTTATTTTTACTCGCCAAAAACGAGCAGAAATTTTGAGCCCTGCTTTAAGCTATGTGTAGAAAAATCTTGTGCCCATGGTAACCCTAGACAACCTAGGCTGAGTGATATGGGGGGTGTCCATCTTTAAACTTGAACAAACAACCAAACTTTTTATTAAATGGAATACTATACTGTCAAACCCCACCTTCCTATCATCATATTCAACAGGATTTACATGTGTTGCGTCAGCACCAAAACAATGATAACCCTGCTGGACTTGCATCTTAAGGAGCATGCATTTCTGTCTGCGTCCCCACTAGGCCTCTATTTGTCACTTAATGAAAATGTCACAAGTGAAGGGAAATCCAAAATTGTGAGGCAGGGATGGAAGGGAAAGTCCAAATGGGAACATCTGTCCTTATAACAACTCTCTAAAATGAAAATTACATTCACTTTAGGAGAGATTTACTCACATTTCCTGCTGTGTCACCAGGACAGAACTTGAAGGGAAATCTTCCCCTCAGGGTACAGGCAGCAAAACGTTTTGGTTTTAAATACACTAAGGAATTTGCAAAACAAAGAAAAGTATGAAAATATGCTTTTACATTACCTTTTAGAAAGATAGTATTCAAACATTTTCACAGGACAACGAGATGGGTCAGCTGTGTTTTCAATCTGTTCATATAATGGTTCATCATCCTCATGTTTCCTTTTTCCAGAGCTAGCTTTATCTTTAAAAGAAAACATGATTTTAACGCAATCTGTTATGTAAAGCACAGTACATATAGTATACAGCAATGTCACTTACCTTCATTGTCGCTTTCACATAATGAAGACACTTGGTACTGGAGGCAAGCTTTTCTTTCTTGTGTTAAGGGATTTCCTTTCCACTGTTTTAAAATTGTACCAAAGGAAAGTCTTAAGTGCTGATCTACGGTCCTCAGATTAAAATACTTAGTATTGAAGTAGCAGAGGGTGAAAAGTAGAGTCATTGCAGAATGGGATCCAAGCTGGTTTGTTTGCCACAAATAGTCCTCTTCAACTCTGGAGAACATTGAGCCTTTAAGACAAAAACACCCATGAATACTACAAAGAAAGATTATTACAAATTAATATAAACGGGGAGGAAAGGTCATAAATTATACCGTGTCACAATACAATAACTGGTGGTGAGTCTCCTATAGTAATTCTAAAGAACACAGTATTTCCCCAAACAAGGAGATCCCACCATCATTCCAAATATGCCACAATATAGATAAAAAATGCGTATTTGTTTGCTAAACTTAAATATTTATCACACATGTATAAATGTGTGATAAATATTTAAATTTAGCAAATAAATACACATTTTTCTATCTATATTGTGGCATATTTGAAGTGGTGGTGGGATCTCCTTGTTTGGGGAAATAGTGTGTTCTTTTGAAAGATTATTACACTTGGCATACAAGTTCACTGTATACTATACAGAGACAGGACTTCCAAATGGAGCAGGTGCACCATGGGTTGTACTAGGGGAAGCTAAAAGGTGTGTGAAATGTGTGAAATGTGTGAAAGAATCTCCTAACCCTTCTCACAACTGTTGGTGGCAGACATAGGAGTATGCTAAATGTTACCCTGTTGACTACAGAGCCGCTACCAAGGCCTTCAGGAGACATTTTGGACAGGACCATTTTATGTCGGTGGTACCTTACTGACTAAGGTCTGAAAAAGTGTGGTTTACTTACAGAAAAACCCTCAGTGTCACCTTTACACTGGAAATAAGCTATTGAAGTGCAGATCGCACTTCTTCGTGAACGCAGAAGCGATCTGGCGACAGGTAAGTCGCCAGGATCGCTTCTGTTGTAAAGATGACAGTCGGCTCTACAAGTTTAAACAGAGTCCCGGCGGCAAAAGTCGCCGGGAGTCTGTTTAAACAGCCCCGATGCTGGCGACGTACACTGTACGTCGTCAGTCACGAAGGGGTTAAAGAGTAATTACTGCGTGAATGAAAGTATAAATGACTGACTTTGTTTTGAAGAGTATCTAACCTCAAAGAAAAAAAAATACTATATTGCCGGTCCTTTGATGTGTTGGCCTCATTAGTTTTCTTTTTTTCAGGCTTCCCCCCCCCTTTATTTCCATCTGGTGATCCTGCTAGTAACTCTTCCCTGTCTTTAGTTGACAGTGCTCATTGAAGAGGGGTGACACGTGCAGGGCTGATCCTACTCAGTGCAGCAGAGGGACACTGCTGTCAGCACACTACAGGAAGTTATGAGTTTACTGGATTTCTGACACCATAACCAGCTTATTTCTGTACTTATGGAAAAGATAAAACACTTTCAGTGATAAATTTAAAACTACTTAAACGGAGTAGAATTGTCAGTACTTTACAAATTCCTAATAATGCATAAAGGTTGGTGTTGCTCTTTTGGCTCACAAGGTCTGAAGAGCCAGGGTGATCTGTGAGGAAAGCAAATGGATGACCATGAGCAGTATAAGATTGAAGAAAATAGGTCACCAGCACTCCATAAGTTAAAATGAATGAGTCCTTTTAATGGACAATGATGTCACAGAAATCCAACATGAGCCGACGTTTCGGGGCCACACAGGGTCCCTTCTTCAAGGCAAGAGATGTGCCCGGTGCCATCCGTGAAGTTACTTCGAGCACCATTTATTTGATTGTTGGCCGGGACTGCTGAAAGGTGTGCGGAGGGCACCTCCATCAATTGCATGAGCAGTATAAGACTTCTGCTGAAAAACAATCAACTGATCTCGGCATATTTAAATTATCCAACCTGCACTGCCCCAGGGCTGATCAAAGGTCGTTCCCCTAAAGTAAGTGGATGCTCAGCGCAGCAATAGCATACACACATGCATGTATATGTGTGATTATTCTACAGAATGATCACATGGCATTCACATCTTCTGATCGCCATCCCACGCCCATTACTTCTGCTCACCTGTTGCTGCTGTGAACCAAGTGAGATTTACATGTGTCTAAGTGCTAATCTAGAGCTTTAACTCCTCCCCCCTTTATAAAGAGGGATGTGCCAAAAGCATGGCAGCATTGTTAGATGCCAATAACACATACCATCAGGAAGAATACTCGGCTGCCAGCTTCTAAGGATAATATTAAATTCTTTTCCAAACTCCAGATACTCGGGATTGCTAAATATGTTATCCGTTCTCTTGTTGCTAAACAGGAACTATGGAAATAAACAATAATTAGACAAATCAAACCACAAAACATGTGCTGCGCTTTGTCACAGGCTCAAGAATTAAGTACTGAGAGATTATAATAGCCATAGCTGAACTCCTTCTAGAAATACTAGTTGCCGAGCTATCTTAGGGTAGTTTAGGTAACTAACCCAGAACAATCATCAGCGAATGAAAATCACCTCTGATCTGCATACTTGTTATTGGCCGATCACTGGGAAAGACTAAACCAATGACATCAATAAGACAACCAGGGAACTGGCATTTTCTGTAATGGCAGTGTATATATTGTAACCAATACCCTGCCTTATTAATAGGTTGTTCATGCTTTGCAAGTATCATCAATTGTTCAAAATAGAATCATCTACGCCGTCCACTTAATCTCAGCACAGGACATGATTCAAGACTGGTGGAGAATAATAGTAAGCTGCCAATAGTAAAAGTCTAACTTTATAAATACAGCTTACGCAAGATTTGTTCAGCACAACCTATGCTCAATGTATTATACAAGTAACTTTGCAAATACAAAAATGACTTCCAAGTCATAACTAAATACTAATCCAGCACAAAGTAAAGCTTGCAGGTTTAGGGTTGCTGGTCCTTATTAGGAAATAAAGTAGTAAGGTCATTAGATTTGTGTGACTTGGCACGGTGCAATATTTAAAAGAAATTGGTATAACATTAGAATGGCTGTATTCTTCATACATAAATGACATGTATATTCAACATTGTTTATTAATGCCACAGTAATTTTTTTTTGGGGGGTGGAGGGGGGGTAACTGGGCTCAAAGCTTTCTAATGTAAACAGTGCAAAACTGTAACCAGAATCTTAGTGAGGTGACATGGATCTTGAATATCATAGTTAAGGGGGAAAGGGGGGGGGGAGAGGGGGTATGCTTAATCACAGCTGAAGTGATCATAACTGAAGTCTAGGACCCAAGTAAGCACTACATGGATAGTGAACACAACCACTGCACTTTAACACAGCAATGGTTTAGGCCGGGCCAGGTTCACAATCACAAGGGTAGCAAATTTCCTATTTAGAGTGTTAAAGACATTTTATGAATTTATCAAAACTGGTGCAGACAAAATATGGAGCAGTTGCCTATGGCAACCAATCAGTTTCTCTGTTTAGTTTGTTCAGTTAAGATTAGAAAATGAAAGAGGCTGATTGGTTGTCACATACATCTGCTCTAGATTTTGCCTGCTCCAGTTTTGATTAATTCCCCTCAATATATCCCCCTTTTTTTTGTAATTTTGAGGCAAGTTACGACATTCTCATATAAGGGTAATTTGTCATAACTGGCTACTTTTAGACCGATCACTTCCATTAAAAATAATATCCGTCAGCTACCTGCCTGCTACAGGATCAAACTTCACTTATTCATTTTAGCAAAGGGGGCTCCTCACTGGTACAAAAACTGTAACAGCTTCTAGAGGGAAACCTGTTGGGCACCATAGCTGTTTTCATGGGTTCATATAATTTTACATTTCATTTGCTTTACAAAACAAGCCAAGTCTGAATTATGGCACTGACCTCCTGAATCCCTAAACACAAATAATAGATGCTATCTGGTGAATAGCTGTCCCCATTCGGCCTTCGAACCGCCTTCACAAACCGTGATAGCCCATAACTGAGCTCACTCGCTGTATGCTCCAGAAGATTCTCTTTTAACTTCACTGCTGAAAACAAAATTAAGTGTTTTACTATCAGCTTGAGGAAAGAACACGTTCCAAAAAGTCTATAGGAAGATGAATACAACAGGATAGAAGCTAAACCTACTTTCGCCAAGCTCTTCTTGAGGAGTAGTTTTAACCCAATGCTTCCAAGCACTGACACCATAGCAAAATTTGAGAGGAAACGCACACTCAGAGTTTTTAGGAAGAGAGCCGTCATCCAAAACTGCCTTCCTCTTCGGTCCCTTAAATTCAGAGCAATTATAGGTTACAGAACAGATAAAACAAAAAATCTGTGTAAAATGCAATCATAAGGGCAGGGAGGCCATGGGTTTCTTACATAAAAGAATAGAGTACTATAGAATACCTATGCATTACAGAGCAGTGCACCCCATGCAGCTTGTACAAGAAAACAAGGTATAGCAATCGCTTTGAATAAGACTAAGGTGTACGTGTTGCAACCAAGGTACTTAGATAAAGTTTTGGGCATGCTTTATATGCCCAATGTCCACAACTGGTTAATGCCAACAATCCACACAGTAGGCTGGACTTTTGTAACTGAAAATATATGACATTTCTTTAATTACACTCAGGCCAGAAGTGTTTACATTAATCTGTTAAAAAATCTTTACACAAATATTGTATTTAAATGGTAATTCCACTTTCCGAGGCAAATTTGGGAAAATGGAATTACCCCACCACACCCTGCTCACTCCTTCCCTTCTGCAGCTGCCAGTGTATGACCTGTACACGCCAGCCCAGCTCTGAGCTATGCGTTTCAAATTACACTTGCAAATAACAAGCACTCATTGGCCATAGTGGCCACCGGACCACTGAGAATCACGACTCATTGGTCAGCGCGGTCAGGAGTGCTTCTCATTTTAGTAGCTGAAACTGATCACAGAAGTTTAACAAATGCCAAACATCACAAAATCCTAATCCTTTATTGCTACAAAACTTTGAACAATCGCATGAAGAATGTTTTTTGGTGTGGTGTTAGCTTTTTCTGGTATAGACTCCCAGTGTGGGGGTAAAGCTGTTGTGGCACTGCAGGTAGGGGGGCGTGGCGGTGCACTGAAGTCAATGGCACCGCAGCCACGCCCCCCTGCAGTGTGATCGGACGCCTGGCAATACATTGCCTGGATTACGGTCAACTGCGAATGCTAAAAAATGCGGCATGCTCTATTTTTGGCATTCACAGTGCAACAGAACGCAGCATATATTTTGCCGTGGGGCGGTGTTGTTGGGTTGGCTGCGGTGCCATTGACGTCAATGCACTGCCGCGCCCCCTGCCGCTGCAGAACGAAGGGGGAATTTTAGAGTGCGATTGCTGTGTGTTCCTGCAGCTACCGCTCTGGAACGCACCACAACTGGTGTGAACAAGCCCTTCGATATGTCAAGTCCAAGTAGAGCTAAAAAATATATATTTATATACCTTTTTAAGTGGTTTGGGTTTTGGTTGCACTTCATACTCCTCCCCAAAAACAGAAGGCAAAAGAAACTCGCTTTCTGTATCAAGTTCTTCAGCAGCTGTAAAGAAATGATTGCAGGATTAACTTTTTGAAGATAAGACATGTAGACATTTAAAGAAAATTCTGATACATACACATTAGCATTTACAGATTCTTTAAAAAAAAAGTTTACAAGATGCATGCACTTCCTGAAGTTTTCTTTGAGCAATTTATGCTCAACAGGTTTACCCCCAGGGGTTTAAAGGTTCTGGAACAGTTGTTTACTTTTTTTCTACCTGAATGAATTTTTTTTTGCTATAGGACAAAAATAGGATTTTTGTACTCACCGTAAAATCCTTTTCTCTCCGTTCATTGAAGGACACAATTGCACGCCCTGAGCAGCGTGGAAAGACCACAACCGACAACCACCGGACCTGGCCTCCAACAGCCACGCCGGCAAGGCCAGCGACTGAAAAGGACAGAACAGGGACACTTGCTAGAAGAAAAATCAAGTCAAATGGAAGAAAGTAAAAATTTTTTTAGCTCCTTACTCCTGACGCTAGGCAAAAAACTGGAGACTTGTCAGCAGGTGGGGGGTTTGGCCACCGGCAGGGGCCGCCCCTAGGCTGTAATTGGTCTTTAGTTTTGTGCCTAGCGTCCTTCTCCTGCAGGTGGCGATATTACCCTACCATACAGGATCTATGATCTGTTGCCCTGTGTCCTTCAATGAACGGGAGAAAAATAAGTTTGTTATACCTACAGTTTGGAAAATAACGATTTGATCCCCTGCAGATTTTGTAGGTTTGCCCACTTACAAAGAAATGAAAGGTCTATAATTTTTATCATGGGTGTATTTTAAATGATAGAGACAGAATATCACCCAAAAATCCAGAAATAACACACGATACAAATGTTATAAATTGAGTTGCAGTTCAGGGAGTAAAATAAGTATTTGATTCCCTACCAACCAACAATAATTCTGGCTCCTCCCACAGACTGGCTATGTGATACACAGATTAGTCCTGTCAATTTAAGAAGGTGCTCCTAACGACAACTCGTTATGTATATAAAAGACACCTGGCAATCGCTGAAAAAAGGTAGCTGTACTATTTTCACGACATGCACCGCGCAGTGTTTTCAACTGTGATCGTGTGGGATCATCGCCCGGTGGTATTGCAGCAGGAAAACGTGCAATCTGCCTGGCACGACTGGGGTGCCATTAGACAATAATGGCACTGACTGCACGATCGGCGGTGGTGTGCGATTCCGTGACCACCCAGCCATCCGCTCGGTTTCGTGCACGATGACCGGGCAGTCACATGTTGTAAAATAAGCATAGTCAGCATTTTTCTTCCTCCAAACATGGCAAGTGTTATTTTGTATTCCTTCCATTTGCAAATAATCGCTCCAACAGTTGTTTCCTTCTCACCAAGTTTCTTGCCAATAGTCTTGTAGCCCATTCCAGCCTTGTGCAGCTCTACAATCTTGTCCCTAAAGTCCTTAGGTCTTGCCCATGGTGGTTAGGTTTGAATGGAAGAAAGAGATTCTGTGGACAGATGTCTTTTATATACTTAACAAGTTGTCGTTAGGAGCACCTTCTTAAATTGACAGGACTAATCTGTGTACCACATAGCCAGTCTGTGGGAGGAGCCAGAATTATTGTTGGTTGGTAGGGGATCAAATACTTATTTTACTCACTGAACTGTAACTCAATTAATAACATTTTTTATCATGTGTTTTTTCGGTTGGTATTCCGTCTTTATCATTTAAAATACACCTATGATAAAAATTATATACCTTTCATTTCTTTGTAAGTGGGCAAACTTACAAAATCTGCAGGGGATCGAAAAAAAAACATGTTCCTCACTGTATTTATTACAGGTATTTATATAGCGCTGCCAATATATGCACCGCTTTATATATTGTACATTCACATCAGTCCCTTCCCATACATGAATATACTATATACACGAACAAACATACTAGGGTCAAATTTAGGGTAGCAGTATACCCCCATTGCTTTGGAAGTCCTGTGTCTGTCAATAGATAAGAAAACGGTCCTCCCTCCTCATACCAACTGGTTAGGACTGCATTGTAATTAGCTGCATGAAAACAGGAAATTTGACAATAAAATGCTATCATTTATTCAACTAAAACAAGACACTGAAAAAGAAGATTTCTATACACATCTATGTTCTCCAAAAGGCATATTTGTAGGATGACTAGCAAAGAAATCGAATGGTTTTAAAATGTGCCTTTCCTGTTTGCTGAGCTGGTCAATAGCTGATATACCTTTAACCTTCCACAACCAAATGAGGGAACCATCATTCAATGCATTTAGAGCTTCTGAGCAGGCCACAGAAAAGGTTCACTTACAGAACAGGACCCATAACCCTCACCAAACAGATGGAATACACCCAAAAAATGCAATACCTTAAAGTACATCACTTTTTAAATATAGTAGGGAATGTTTGGAACCAGTGTAAGGTTGTGCATTTCTTCACATAAGATAGATATATCTTCACTATATCCCCCAGACACATCACTGAAAGTGAGGGGAAACCTCTAGAAAATGAATGGAATACTTCTAGACAGCTGTAAACAGAACCAGTCTACACATTAGAAAATTTCCTGGCCACATTTGTAACATTTCTGATTTCCCATCACTTTTTCCAGAGACATTGGCCACCAGGACCAATAGTGAGGTTCAATCTCCCCAGTGGGAACACAGAAAGAAATAAAGATAACATTAAGGCTCATTGTGCCAGCAAACCAGAGTGTTATAATTATTGTCTACCAATTTAAAACCTATCCCCTTCTAATCAAATCACAGATATATCTAAACTTGCACAACATAACCAAGATATCTTCAGACCCAGATAGGTATAACACCTAAAGGCCTTAGCACAGTGTATGCTTGAAGTCCTGAATAAATAGGTTTTATTGATGTGGAAAAAAAAAGTTCAAAAATGTAAACTCACCTCTAGGAAAATCATCTTCAATGTCTAGTTCTGGCTCATATGGCATATCTGGTAAGCTTGCGGGGCTGTCGACACTGCAGTTTTTGGATTCATCTGGTTGTATTTCATCTGCAGGTAAAAACAGCTGTATTAGTTTAAATTGAACTATCTGCTGACGCCCTTGGGGAGTGATGAGGTCTATGCCCACATACCAGTATCACACAATTCCTTTTCATCAGTTATAGGATCTTCTATATCCAGGACTTCTACAGGATGCAATGGGCTTTCACTTGACAGATTAACTTCTGTTACCGCCTCTTCTCTTTTCAGATCATTTTCTTCATTTGTTTCTTCTTTCAGATCTTCTTCCTTTACTTCCTCTTTCAAAATGTCATCATCTTCTTTAAGCTCACTTTCATCTTCTACCAGTGTATCCCACGTCACTTTACTGCCCCCCTGATCTTCTACCTTTAATTTTTCCTCTTCTTCCAAGTCTTCATCCTTAAATGACATGGAATCCTGTGTGTCCTCCTGCTTTTCCAGTTCAACTTTTAGATCCTCTTCTTCCTTTAGGTTCATGTCTTGGTGTAAGTTTTTCAGCCTAAATTCTTCATTTAATTCTTTAATTTTGTCCCAATCACATGGCACAAAAATAGGAATAGGAACCTGTAGGACAGGTAAAGTATTACTATCTTCATCAGCTAGTTAAATAGTAAAAAAAAAAAAGATTTAGCGCTTACCATAAAATCCTTTTCTCGGAGTCCATTGAGGGACACACCTCAGAAGAATTCTGATACAGAGGGATGTTCAAAAGCATTCTTCATAGCGGTGTCCCTCAATGGACAACAGAGAAAAAACATTTGATAGGCCGCCTCCAATACATCAGTCATGTAGACTGAGATTTTTTTTTTTGTTACGAGCCACCTAATCACTGTTTATATCTAATTAAAATCGAGATTATTACTTTGGTCATTCAGTGCACTTTTACAGAGTCTCTTACTGGCCCCCTGACCCACTCATACGCCTCTTTCTCGTCACTCCATACCTCTAGAAATCAAACCGTGTGAAAGATCTGCAGTGGACCGTACACACCGTTGGTGATGTCAACCCCATTACGCACGTGACTGTGTTTGGGCATGGCAGTTGGCTGTGCAAGCCTGGAAATTGCATGAAGGAAAAAAGGTCACATGCTTTGGGTATGTGCGATGGCTTCGGGGGAGCGTGTGGAAGGTGACCATTAGGGACTGTGCTTGGGATTGGCAATTGGCTGTGCAAGCCTGAGAATTGCATTAAGGAAAGAGGTCACATGCTTTGGGTATGTGCGATGGCTTCTGGGGAGCATGTCGAAGGTGACCACTCCGGGCAGTCTCTTTAAATATTTCTCTATACTGACCAGAAGTTCAGGTATTGGAGAAGATATCAAGCATTTGGGCGAGTACAAGTGCTTGCCCAAATACTCTGTATCTGTGCATTCCTAATAAAAACTGTATTGGTCTGTGCTAAATAGTGCTTCTCAGTGGTCAGCGTGGTCCCCAGACCACGCTTACCAATGAGTGCTTGCAATTTGCGAGCGAAATTCAAAATGCATAGGGCAGGACTGCGCTGGACAGTACGGGGTAAGGACAGCACACCTGTACCGGCGGAGGGTAAGGACTGTTTGCCGAAAGGTAAGTATAGCCGGGGGGGTGGGGGTTTTGGGAGAGACCAGGCCAGATTTGATCGGGTAATTCCATTTTCCCATATTACCTGGGGAAAGTGAACTTGCCCTTTAATGCACATTGTGCGTGTGGGAGAGTTCTGCTGCCTCGCTACCACAATACGACACAGTGAAATGGCGGCAGTACTCAACGCACACACACAATGTCCTATGTGTGCGTTTATTTGCATACAAGGGGGGGGGGGGGGGGAACTGCATGTCCCGGGCGTCGGGCGATAGGAATTCCACACCCCTGATAGGAGCAGCTTTGGAGACAGAAGTGTCTTGAAAGTTTCGGGAACTGACGAGTTAGGGGAAATAAAGTCATATGGGAAAGACTGTACAAAGATTTTAAAAAATAGGTAGGTAGATCATATAATTTCTGTAGAGATGCCAGGCCCACAGGTTGACACTGAAAGTGGACCCTAGACAAGACACGACAGTTGTGAATTGGACATTCTAAACCAATTTGCCACCCAGCTGCACAAATGTCCACAAATGCCCCTTTTTATTTATACTTACAGGGATAGGTATTGCTGTGGGAGCAGGTACATTTTGACTGTAAAGATTCATAGGCACCGGCACATACACTGGAACTGGAATAGGCACTGGAACATACTTTGTGTTAGGATCCTCCTCTAAATAAAATAAAATAAAAAATGAACTCATGTTCTCATGTTTACATTCCTTCCTACATTTGAAAATATAAGAAAATAAAGGCAAAATTATTGAAACATTGGCTTCCGTTATCATAATGTAGGTTTCATGGATACAAAGGCCCTCTGCAATTAAAAAACCTCTGTGGTAAGCCACACTTTAGTCATGATAGGAAATCCACAGCTCAGTGACTGAGGGCCTGTTCACATCAATTGTGGTGTAGCTGCTGCAACACACAGTAAATCGCATACTAAACTCACCCCTTCATTCTAGAGAGGGAGGGAGGGAGGAGGTGTGGTATCGCAGCCGCACACCCACAACCCCCCTGCGATCGGACGCATGGCAAAACATTACCTGCGTTCCGGTCCAGTGTGAACACAAAAAAAGTGCAGCATGCATGCATTGACTTCAATGCTCCACCACGCCCTCTACTGCACCAGAACGAAGGGGGAGTTGTGAGTGCGATTACTGTGCGTTCCATCTGCTACCACTCTGGAATGCACCGCAATTGGCGTGTACTGGCCTCACATCACTGTGTTTAAATTCGTATATACAGTATATTTTAGAGATCCTCTCTGCTCTTTTAGTGTGCATCAGTACTCCATAGAAATTAACAAAAATGAATACACTGGGGCAGATCAAATATTGTCAGTGCACACAGAAATCTGCTTTGTTGGATGTGCCAAATATTAGTTCAGTTTGTAGGCTTTGAAAAGAAAGATCCAACTAAAGCACCAATTGCAGTAATAAGAAGAAAAAAAAAAAAGGAGCAGGAGCAGTAGCGTGCCAAGGGAATGATGGTGCAAACACAGTTACACACCAAATAAACTATATGCAAGAAGACAATCATTTAATTTGCAATGCACCAAAATAAGATGTCACATCCAATTGTTCCCATTCCTAAACAACTGCCAATCCTAATTCAGCTGGCCCATTGTGTGTTTCTACTACGCTATACAATGGTAATCCTCAATCTTGAAAACTATGCCCTCATTTTGGAAAATGTATGGCTTTAAAAATGGCATGGACACACTAAAGCGCACAAGCACATTTGAGATTGCATGCAAAAATACATATTATAAATGTGCATTACAGAACATGCAAGGTATAAAAATGGCCCTAAATGACAAAAGAAACAATTTGTAGTTTTGATAAAATGACATGGTTTCATCTAGGGCTGCAACTAATGATTATTTTCATAATCGATTTTTTGGCCGATAATTTTTTACATTAATCAGATAAAATAAATTAAACAAATACCATTCTTAAATGTTAAATAAAATACACAAATGCAGTGTTAAAGTTTATTTCAGAATAAAACTGCATGCACAATTTTTTGCACTGGAACGCACGGCATTGTGGTATCATGCGTTTCAGTGCGGGCAATCACATTGTGGGTGGAAGGTGCGTTTGGGGCGGCATTTAAATAAATAGCAATGCAACTTAACTCCCGCAGCAGAATTTGTCAGGCCGAAACCAAAAAGGACTTTTTTCACACCATTTATATATTTTTAAAAAAAATAATTGTATTTTAAGCCCATGGCACTTGAATAGCTTCCGTAAGGGAATGATAGCTGCCAGTGGCAAGATTCGGCAGGCGGCAGCTTCATTTAAATACAGCAGGTAATGGGCTGGTGCAAAAGCCCGTCCGCTATTAGCCATTCCACTTTGCAATAGCCAATAGCAGGCTGGCTATTGCACCCGCCCAACTAATCGATAACGAGAATAGTTGACAACTATGTTGACAACAGTGGTCAGAAATAGTATTGTGTTTGAAAATATTAAAAAGTCCTTAACCAAACATCACAGGGACGAAGCAGCTTGTTCGCAAACTTAATTTGCTTGCCTACAGGCCTGAGGTGCTCAACTTTGGCCCCTCAAGTTCTCTTAAAGAAGACCTACTAAACTAATCTGCCTTGCCGCACCTGTGGAATCAATCCACAAAGACTTATGAGGTCCTCTCTGATACAGGAAATGCTTGAGAGGTGCCTGCATAGAACTCTATGGTGGTGAACTATGCAGACACGGCTAGGTGAAAGATGGAACTCACCCGCTGGATGTGGGAATGCAGCAGGCCACGTTTTTTTAAATTATGGAAAGTATGTTTTTGGGACAGTGATGGGTGGGTTATTTTTGTTCAGAGGGAGCTAGGCACTAAAGTCTCTGCATTCATTCAAATATTATTCAAGATGATATCTGAGTCAGTGGGAATGCAAACACATCAGTGTAGGTACTGTCCAAGCACATGGCTACCTTTAAATTAATTCAAAGAAGACTTATTTAAAACACTGACAAACTACCTGTCTGGCAAGTCTTCGCCTGCATGTGCGGTTTGCAGTAGGTGGCCTTTGTCATCGATAGTGGCTTGCACAAGACTGCCTTATTCTTCATGTCTTTAGGTGCTGCAGGAGTACAGTTTATACCCTAAAAGGAGAGAAACATTTCTAAATTATAGAGAAACTAAAATTTATATTGATATATTAAACTGAACATTATGACTGCGAGATGAAGTGAATAGCATTGATTATCTTGTTACAATGGCACCTGGAAGTGGGTCGGACATATTTGGCAGCAAGTGGAAATTTTGTCCCTGAAGTTGATGTGTTGGAAGTAAGAAATTGACAATTTAGAAAAATGGGCAAACATAAGGATTTGAGTGACTTTGACAAGAGCGAAAAATTGGTGAACCGGCATGGGTGGCCAAGGCTCATTGATGCACGTGGGGATCGAAGGCTGGCCTGTGTAGCCTGATCTAATAGAAGAGCTATTGAAGCTTAAGTACTGAAAAGTTAATGCTGGTTCCAATAGAAAGGTGTCTGAACACACAGTGCATTGCAGTTTGTTGTGTATGGGGCTGAGTAGCCACAGACCGTCCCAGTGTACTGTGTCCACTCCTAAAAGCGCCTACAATGGGCATGTGAGCATCAGAACTGGACCTCAGAGCAATGGAAAGAGGTGGCCTGGCCCGGTGAATAACTTTTTTCTTTTTTACATCATGTGGATGGCTGGGTATGTGTGTATCGCTTGCTTGGGAAGAGGTGGCACCAGGATGCACTATGGGAAGACAGCGGAGACAATGTGATGCTTTGGCCGATGTTCTGATTTTAAACCTTGGGTCTTGCCATTCATGTGGATGTTACTTTGACATGTACCACCTATCTAAACATTGTAGCTGACCAAGTACATCCTTTCATGAAAATATAAGCTGATGGCATTGGCCTCTTTTAGCAAGTTAATGCTCCTTGCCACACTGCAAAAATGGTTCAGGAATGATTTGAGGAACACAGCAACAAGTCGGAGGTGTTGACTTGGCCTCCAAATTCACCAGATCTCAAGCCAATTGAGCATCTGAGGGATGTGCTAGAAAAAAGTCCGATCTATGGAGGCCCCACCTTGCAACTTACAGGAGAACTGTTTTCTTTAACACATTGCACAGGTGGTAACCGTCTGAGAGGTGTGGTGCGCTGAAACACACATGCATTGGGATGCCATTGAAAACAAATGGCAGCACAGATTTGCAGTAAAATTAACTTGCATTTTGCCGTCTTACAGGACTAAGGGCTTGTTCACACCATGTCTGGACCAGCTAAAATGCATCCCAATGCATTTTATAATAAGCAAGGTTCCCCGAAAAAAACGGAATCCCAAAGTAGGAGCTGTCTATAATAATCAAACAGGTAATGATAATGTAACAAATTTTAATGAGAATTAATTCTCATTAAAATTTGTTACATTATCATTACCTGTTTGATTATTATAGACAGCTCCTACTTTGGGATTCCGTTTTTTTCGGGGAACCTTGCTTATTATAAAATGCATCCCAAATGGTATTTCTGGGCTCTGCGCACACCAGTGCAGTCTGTCCCAGTGTGATGAAAAAACAAATAACTGTGCACTATATTTTCTGTCAAACATAACAAATGGCAAACACACTCATCAACTCATAACCAGCTTTAAAGCAAGGTGCACATGGAAGGGCTTTATACAGTACAACAGCAAAAAGTTTCCCAGCACGCTCATCAGCCAGCATGCAAAAAAAAACACCTGTCTAACCGCTGAGGTTAAAAACAGAGGTTTTAGATACACGTCATCTGCAGAATATGTGAAGCCTCCTGGCGAACTTTCACCATATTTTTTCTTTTGCTACATGTGCTCCAAGATGGAGACTCTCATAGGTTAGAGTTAGGACCGCTGTACACAGAGGGGCCTTGACGAGGCAGTGCGGCTTTCACATATTCTGCAGATGACGTGCATCTAAAACCTCTGTTTTAACCTTAGCGGTTAGACAGGGGTTTTTTTTTGCATGCTGGCTGGTGAGTGTGCTGGGAAACTTTTTGCTGTTCCACTATTTTTTCTGGTCTGGAACACACCAAAATGCATGTAAATGCATGCAAATACACTGAAATGCGCCTGAAAGCCCATTCAGGCTTTAAAAAAAATGCACCAGATTAGGTCCGGACACAGTGTGAACAAGCCTTAAAGGATCTTCTACTGACAGCTTGATGCCAGATACCACAGCATACCTTCAGAGCTCTAGTGGAATCCATGCCTAGATGGGCCAGGGCTGTTTGGCAGCAAATGGGGGCCCTACTCAATATTAGACAGGTGGCCATAATGTTATGGCTGATCGGTGTATATATACATACACAGCTGTGCACTACTGGAAAAATACAAAATGGTGTATTTTGGCTATTTAAAAAACTTCACTGACCATTGGTCTGTGCCGTGAGGCTTGAACTCCTTGGTCTGTAAATAAAAACAAAAAGTTTAGTAAAGAATCATATGATGACAAGCAGCGGTGTATAACAAGTTCCTAAATAAATACCAAGGCTACAATATACCTAAACGGACTGAGGCCACAATAAAAAACCCTAGCCAAGTAAGGGCTTGTTCACACCAGCGGCGTTGGGCAACGTTGCCCAATGCAGTCCTAACTAAAGCAAAAGGCAAATTTGCCTTATGTCCTATGGCTTCAGGTCACACCAGTGCTCTGTGCTAGAGTGTACTGGAAAAGAAAAATAGAACATGCTGCATTTAATTTTCATTTGTGTGAACAAGCTTTACATCTCTTGGCCTCAACAGGTCTTGTCTACAAAAGAGAGAAGAACTGTTAATTTAAGAGCAAGTGGGCAGGTTCGAAGTTTTCATTTTGCGTTCAGATCCATAAATAATCAAGATCGAAAAAATCTGCATTGGTGGTCAGTAAATTTGAGTGTGTACGCATACAGGTTTAATGGAATGGTATGCGAGTTAGAATTTTATGCATCTGAACCCACTTCAGATGTTTAAGGGTCTATACACCCATAAAACGCAAGTACTTTAATGACTATTTCATGCTTTTTTATTTTTTATTTTACACAGGATGTTTTTGTCAGCCTCTGCCAGCAAGATCATAGATGATTGGTAATTTAATTACGATTGTGTGCATGAGGCCTTATAGGTTTTCCTGAAAATATCTTGCATCAAACCTTTCACTGCCAAGGCCTTTTCTGCACACATTATAATCCACATTTTACGCCTTAAAATTACTTAAAACCCCAAAAAATATATTTTCTAAAAGCAAAGACCCTGTAGAATAAAATGGTGGCATGCAACTCTTATCAAACCCAAAAAATGTACTTCATTTTAGTGCACAAAAACACAACATAATACCCATTTTTTGGTAAAATATAAAAGATGAGGTTACATACCCCACATGCCAAGGTTAAAAGTTGCATGCATCCATGAAACAGCGACAAAATACGTTACCCTGAATTGTCCATAGGACTACGTTTTAAAAGCCTGTACAGGTCATCAGTTTAGAGATATGCATGAATATTGGCCCTGTAAATATTGCTCTTACTCTGGTGCATGTGGCGATACCAAATATGTGTAGCACAATCGTTTTTGTACGTAGGCGCACCCAACACATGTTTACGTTAATATGCAAAAAAATTTAATCTTATTTTTTTTTTTTTACTTTTTTTTACTTTACTTAATTGCATCACATAAGGGGGCTTACAAGCCCCCTACGTGGCAGCATACTAGTGGTGACAGGTACTCTTTAAGGTGACATTAGGGGTCAATTAGACCCCCTAGTGTCACCTTTCCACTCCAAATAAGCTATTACAGCATAGATTGCAGTGCGCACCGCCCCTGAAGGGATCTGGCGGCAGCTCACAGGCTTTATACATGTAAACAGACTGCTTGAAGGGGCCCGCTGCCAGTGACATACGATACATGTCGGTGGCAGCAAAAGGGTTAAAGTTTTCAGTGTTCAATCTTAAAAAGACAATTGCTGTGCGTTGCTCATGGAAGTTATTCTCTGAGGTTTATAAATAAGGCCTGTTACACTTCTTTTAAGAGTGTCCCTTAATCCCTAGAAGTTTCTGCCTCAGTCGGAGAGTCGAGATTTTAGTCGAGTTTAGTTTTTAGATAATCTCTGTTGTAGGGTATTGCTCAGTCTGTGGCATTTATTTTGAATCTAGTAGTCACACATTTTCTCCTTTTCTTCTTACACACTGACCCCTCGTTACTCGGTTTGTAAAATGAACGGGAATTACAAGACAGTTTATGGGTTATCATCGGCTCGATATTTTATCAGTGTGTCATGAGGGTTCAAGTCCCCCCTCCACACACGTATGTCAGCTGGTAGATACTAATCCACTACGAGCCAACATGAGCTCTATATCAGGAAAAACATTGCAACATACCTAGATACATGTTCTCTGGGCCTTTCTGTGTCGTCATGTTGGGCTCATTTTGCTGGAGGTAGAAACGGAGTAAGCACTGCTGGTCACAGAAATTCTTTATCAATCCACGCCACTGTACTTTCTCCTTAAGTGTTCCTTGAGTTCTACAGCAGTCACACCTGGCTGCCTAGAGTATGGAGACAAATAAAATGATTTAGGCATTCTAAGTGGACCCTGGAAATTGAGTATTGGGAGTAATAATTTATCTAGCTTTAGATTTCTATTCGGCAGCAGAAAAAGGGAACTTTGCAGTGGTTATGTCAGGAAAATTGGCTAAAGAAGACAACTACAGTGGCACCTCAGTTCACAAACTTAAATTCTGGTCGCGAACCGAATCAAAATTTCCCCATAAGGTTCAATGTAAATATGGTTAATCCGTTCCGAACCATATGTTAATTTTTTTTTTTAAACCACAAAAATCTGAAACAGAGTACAGTACTGTATGAAGAGAGTGAACACTAACCTTTGCACTTTCTTTGGAGCCATGCTGGACTGAATAATACTGTACAGTACTGTATGTGCTAAACAGCACACAAAAAAGCTTCACAGAGATGTGCACAGGTCTGTCTGCGACCGCAATCTCGGTTAGAGGAAGCCACGACCACGTCAGAGCGAGGAAGATGGCCACGTCGTGTTTGTCACCTGATTTGGAGTTCGTGAACGGAAGCAAAATTTTGCTCAACTTCCTGTTCGCTAACTGAATTGTTCACGAACAGAAGCGTTCGTGAACCGAGGTATTACTGTACTTCCGTTTTATAAGCGCAACTCCTGTCATATAACCACAACCACTCAATTAGTAAATAAATTGGTCATCTGAATTTAAGGCAACAGAAATGTGAATATCTAGTTTTTGAAAAAAGGATTTTGAACCAGAGATAGAAGTGATCTTTCAAGTGCAAAAACTGAACACAATGTTCTGGATTTCCATGCTGATGCTGCATGGGACATGAGTAACAAATGTGTGTACATTGCTTTTCTCTCTGACACACTGTCACAGGAGGCTGATCGAGCGGTGTAGAGAGGAAAGCCCAGCCTCCAGTGATAGCGCTGTCTCCGCTCCCACACCGCTCTGCTGGACTGTGATAGGCGGCTGAGCGGTGTGGGAGGAGAGACGCCGGCCGCTCTCCACCGCAGCGCTCGGCCGGCTGTCACTTTCTTTTCTCCCCGCTAGAGCAGCGGCCAGCGGGGAGAAAAGAAACCAGGGATGCGCCAATGTATCGGCCGAAACATGGCTCTTTCGGCATTATGCCAAAAGTGCAATTTTCGGCCGATATGTTTCGGCGGCCGATATATCGGTGCATCCCTAGTAACGAATACAGATTTCACATTGTTAATGCTACCAACCTTAAATTTAAACTCCAGGAAACCATCCAACTACACTGATGAAATACACATATTACATAGGAGACTTTTACCTGCCAAATTAATTGTATTTCTATACATCCAGTTCCGGGATTTACACAGCCCTGCCAGACAGCATAGCACTGTCTGGCAGTACAGGATATCTTTTTTTTCTGTGCTGCACGTACAGCAGAACTCCTAGTTGTATGTTTGGGATTACTGCAATATTTACACATCAATTCAGCGTACAGCGAGAGAGGCTATGACAGCTGTGGCTCTCATATATGGAAGTGTATTTGCAGTGTCATTTGTTCGCTTCTCCTCCCCTTGCCCATTCTCAGAATGCTTTGGATTACTGCTTTAACATTTACAGATCTTGTCCTTCACCCACCCTGTGACTGGACCGTAAAAGAAGAAACAGCACACAGATCATATATATCTGCCTGGAGGTCAGCTTCAAAAAACAGTCAAAGAAAAGCTTTGCAATGTACATGTTCTGTAAAATAAGGACTAATTCCATTCCACTAAATTACCTTATAATACCAGTCGTGAAACTTTCTACTGCATTCCTCAGTGCAGAAGTCCCGCAGCTTGCCATCAAACTCCTTAGATGCCCCTCTCTTGCACATCTGGAAGCAGTAGTTGCAGGTCACGCATTTCAATCCCAACCGTTTTGCAAAGTCCTGTTTATAGAGTAGCTTACAACCTGGAAATAATATAATGAATTACAGAGATGTACAAGACTACAATAACAAATACAGATAAAATAAATTGCCATAACAAATGCAGTGTTTAGAAAAGTAGAAGGGTTTATTCATGCAATGACCAGCCGTATATGCTCCAAGTTGCAGTGCGGCGTCATACAAGAGTATCTAATAAGACTACTTTTTAACTGCTGAAGGCCTCATTCACACAGCTTAGAGTTGGCCCGTACAGACCCGTGCAGTGTGCATGGCCGTATCAGGCCTATCCCGAAAGGACAGGTGCTGCATGCGATTGTACGCAGCAGCCTGTTCTTCCCTATGGGTGGATGCGGCTGTACACTCACCCGAACTGCACATCCATACAGGTGTCAGTACTCTGACGCAGACAGGATGGATTCTGTCTGTGTCCGAGCACGGACACCCGCACCCATGTGCAGCTCGGGTGAGCGTACGGCAGCATCCTCCCATAGGGAACAACAGGCTGCTGCGTACAATCGCACGCAGCACCTGTCCTTCCCGGGAACGGCCCATTACAACCATCCACGCCGCATGGAACTGTACGGGCCGACTCTAAGCGGTGTGAATGAGGCTTAATAGGCCATTTTAATTAGCAAAAAAAACCCTGCATAAACATGCCTGCACCAGAGTGCAATGAAGCATGCACATGAACACACATTGCAGTCATTTGCACTATAAACTTACTCTGGCTAGTCTGTTACAAACATTCATAGTCATAGTAAACATACTGGTGATTACTTGCCATCTGAACTGCCAAAGCACTTCTGCAAACACATTGCTTTTGATAAATCTGCCTCCTTCTGCCCATTACTGTCAAGGGCCAGGGAAAGAAGGAATGCAATCACCGGGCCCAAAAATATGTATACTCCCAAACTAGGCATCTGAAAAATTAGAGTTATGGCAACAGAGCCCTCATCCTCCTACAGCTTAGAAGAAACTCCTTTAAATAAAAATAGTCACTGAATAACATGAGCAACCTACCTTCACTGCAGAAAGGCTTCTTAACGCCAGAAAATTTCACGGTGTCATGCAGAGTTTTTTCCTCCTGACAGTATTCACAGTATGTAACGATGCAGTGCAGCTTCTTAAAATCATCACAACATATAGGGCTGCAGAACTGGTACATCTTTTTCTGCAAGTAGATGTCACTTTTAAATACGTGTGTCAAGGCCTCCATATAAACATTTCTGACGAAGGTAAAACAAACAAACAAACAAAAGGCATCTGCAGCCATCCACTGTGGTTTACAACGCCCTGGACATTACTTCCTTCTCTTCGTGTGTTGTCACAAGGATAGGTATAAAAGGTAAGAATCTCCAAATAAAGTCACGATTAAAAGCCATTTTATAAATATATTTGGGAAGATTATTATTGCTGTACCCCCATTAGGGAGAATTCTCTCACAGGAACTAAGAGGGTAAAGATCTCCATTGGCAGAGACGGCAATAAAAACCTGGCAGGTTCAAGCCATTCTCTACTCATACGATTTTGGATACAGTTGTGTTTAAACCTGATGCACCTTTGTCATGATGAACAAGTGATGGGAAATCCAAAATTTTGCAGTCACTAGGATTGGAGCACAGGGAAAGCCTTCCAATGGGGACACCATTTCCAGTGACAAAAAGTTGGTATTTCCCTTACTGTGGAAAGATTTCCTCTTACTGCCCTATAGAAAGCATAAAAAACTAACAGGGCTTTTTCCAACTTGCAGTTATGTGCAGTTGTATCACATTCCTTTTTCACTTCTACCTGGAGCTCGGCTTTAAATATTGCCGTTTGATAGAAACGCACAGGCAGCGTTACAGGTTTACAAAACACATTTCATAGTACAAGCACAACAAGTATGCTAAAATTCAATACAAATATGCTTGTTACCTCCCAGTCCAGGGTTGCTGGCTTAGTAGAAAACATATTTTTACAGTAATTGCATTTTAACTGAATATCGCTGCTGACATGCTGGCCATTTGTAGAAGACTGAATGCTGAGAGTCTGAAAGACAAAAAGAGTTCAACTGAAAAATCATTTACAACTTAGGTCACAACAAAACAGAATTATGGATTGGATAAAAGAGACAGATACAGGGCCCTCCTCATGTATCACTTCCCCCTCCCTTTTAGATTGTAAGCCCTTAGAGGCAGGGCCCTCCTTACAATCTTGTCTTGAATTGTATTGCGATTGTAATGTCTGCCCTATATTGTAAAGCGCTGCGCAAACTGTTGGCGCTATCTAAATCCTGTATAATAATAATAATAATAACACAGGGCATCTCTGATTTAGGTAAATGTATACTTTACAGCAGGGGAGTGCTGAGGCTCAGAGAGGTTCCAAAGAACATGCGGAAGTATTTTAGCAATATAAAAAGGTGAGTTCATCTATTTTAGCATCAGAAAATTACCAACGTTTGCTATAGAAAACACTCCCCAGAGCATAAATATTTAATATTTGATCTTTGAAGTACAGAAACACAGCTCAAGAGATCAAAATCCTTAAAAAAAAAAAAAAAAGTAATTCTTCCATGCTGCCAGTATATTTTGTGCCATTCTGACATTGAGCCTTCCACCCACAACAGCACACTCTACAGGTGTATTTATGTATTGCAGCTGAAGAATTGCAATCCATACAAAGCCTAGTTTACATGGACTCTCATATGAGAATCAGGGAGGCAACCATCTCTGAACAGATCCTTAAACTCAATTTCCACATTTGTAAGTGATTAGAATTGATTGTGGTAATGAAGAGGTGCAGTGATGATCTATACGTGTTCACATTTTCATGACTCACATTGCAGGCTTTCTTCATTTTTTTTTAGGAAGGTATTATTAGGCCTGAAGCCTAAAAATTCAAACATTTTCTCCACAGGAAATTCAGTGACACCAGAGTGTCAGACTGTAAACAGCTGCGCCTCCCTCCCTGTCACCCATTGCAACAATCAGTAAACACTAGCTCTGCCCTTACATGCAATACATTGTCCGGAGGGGGGGAAGAATATACACACAAAAGCACAGAGGCGGTCATTTCCATGAAGAGGAAAGCTAACAAAAAAAAGTAAGTTTATGTGTTCATATACATCAGCTGCAAAGGCCTGCTTCATGTTAACGTGGTGTACATTGCTTGCATGGTTTTTTTTTAAATACCTCTGCAAAGCTGGAAATGGGCTTTAAGCGTTGGTTTCAATGCGTTATGAGTTGACTTCAAACAAGCATAATTCTGACATGGTTTTCTGACATTAATTTACAGTAGGCTTGTTCTGGGTTTGCGATTCGAAAGTAATTGAATGCATGTAAATTTATGTAATTAAGGGCACCCTAAAAATTAAACTTTCCTTATTTGCTAAAGCCCTTTAAAGAAGACCTGAACTATGGAAGCTGTGTCCAATAAATACTAGTAACTATTATTGCCTGTGGTCCTACTGCAGCCAATCTTTTCCTCATTACTGACTTGCCATGCCTTGTTCTGCAGGAGGAGGTGGCCATTTTGGTAGAGGAGCAAGGCTTTGCTTTCTCATATCACAGCTGCACCCCTAATTATTGCTGATCTAAATGACTGGTGGCGTAATAATCAACAAGCACCATTACAGCATTACAGGTAAACAAAGAATAGAGTGCCGTAATACATGAAGCATAAGCAGGGAGATACTTGCACTTCAGGTGCTCAGGGACAGCTCCATTTTCAGAAAGCAGAACAATGAGCAGCATAGCAGTGACAAATCTTACTACAAATCACATGAGACTATCAGTCAGATATTTACAAATCGGTTTTTGCCCGAACACCTACCCTTCGCTCCTTTGCACATTTTTTCCCCTAGCGCTTTGCTTTTTTCGATCAGATGCAGGAGTGCCTTAGATTATCTCACACTGAAGATATACAGCTATGAAGCTAAAAAAACTTGTTTTTCTGAAGAGTTCAAAACAAAAAGATTCTTTAGGGTACTGTTTTGGCTCAATTAACATCTAGACGTTCCATATAACATAGTATTTCAAGTTCAGGTTCACTTTAATCAGACTTAATCAAGCAACTAGCATTTTCTTAGTGCCAGCCAAGGAAGCCTTACTTCCATTGTGACATGACAAGAGGTGGTGGTGGGGGGGTTGAGGCCTGGCAAATGTAAACTGGATTTGTTTCCAAAAACAAAAAGACCAACAAATGTGTTTCTGCTCATGGAGTAATTCTGAAAGTAGGTATTTTCGAGATGGAGAGGGCATGGATGAAATGGTAAACAGCCACAGAGCAGAGGGCATAAGGGCCGATGAAAAGCTGATAAAATCCAAATGCACCATTAAAGTGACCCATGTAGTTAGTTCCTTTTAAGATCCAGGATAACAGTACATGAACATATAAGCTGTTAGCGCTTTGTTGCACCTTCATGTCACAGGTCTTGTGTTTCGTCACAAGCAGAAATATTCCTGTCGCACAAAATACATGAGCTACTTTAGGGAAGATTTCAGCACGTTTTATCCCGTAGTCTCCATAGAAAAAGCTTAAAAACGTGCAGTGGGATTTTTTGTGTGCGTTTTTCGCCTTCACATGAATGTGACAGAATCTGCTTACAAAAACGTGCGTAAACACCGCACTAGAACATGTCGCCTAGGTGTGAATCAGGCCTAACTGACAGACTCTTAAGAGTTGGTGGGTGCAGGAGAAGTGGTTAGTTTCAACCCCCTAATAGGATAGAGTTGGAGGGACACAGGGGATACCTGGGGAATGTCCGCTCTTGCTCGTTTTACTATGTTGAGTAATTTTATGTTTAGATTAGGTATGAGAGTCAAGTGTGTATGGTTTGCTAGGAAGTATGTGGTGTGGATGGATGTGGTTTTTATTAGATGTTCTCTGTTTTATATGCGTTTCCCCGTGTCCCTGTCGATGTCCCTGTCCCCCCTTGTAAGTCTCACTTCCTCTCCCTTTGTGGTTCTTTTCCTGGGTCTGGGACGCTTGATGTCTCGGTCGCATATTATTCCATGTCCATGATGGCGTCCCTACGCCTGGTGACATACAATGTCAGGGGCCTTAATGCCCCCGCCAAAAGGCACCAAGTACTGGCTGAGTTACACAGACTGCGGGCTGACGTGGTCTTCTTGCAGGAGACTCATATCTCTCATGACTCTGCGTTACTATTGCATTCAGGGTACTTTCCACACTGGTACCATGGCACGTCCCCTACCAAGCGGGGGCGTGGGGTCGCCATAGGATTTGGAAAGGATATTCCCTTCACGGTCACTGACAGAATGGTTGACCCGGAGGGCAGGTTCCTTTTTCTTCATGTCGAATTATATGGTGTTATATATACTGTGGCGAACGTTTA